CCCATTGTTACAAAAAATACCTGCTTGGTTGTTTGCTTTTAAGAGGAAATTTGACAGGGACACAAGAGTGCCCTCTGCACTTGCTGATAAATAAGGCTACGCTCATTTTGCTTGTCTCGACCCTATTAAATCTTGTGTCCTTTGGTTTGTGACATTGAATCTGACATAGCAGTGATGAAATCATTGATGTCCATTTTCCTTGTAATTGACTTTGCAATTTTCAGTTTGTTTACAAAGTAATTAGGTAATTGCCCACCTATATCTTTTTGCGCTTGCATGTAATGCAGATGGTCATGACTCATGACCTTTTAACTAAGGTTGTCATCGATAGAAAAATTGTTGTTTTTAACTCACATGGTGAGGTTTTGCAATTGCCCCTTTTCCATCTGTTTAAAAACCTCTTGTCAATAGGATTATCGTTTTAAGTTATTTTTGTTCAACGTCAGTACAGAAAACCCCCCTATGACTCCTGGTTCAAAAGCTTGCCTATTTTCAAAATGGCTGCCCATTTTTTGGACCATATAGCTTTATTCCAGTCAATATTTCTAGCTCCTATGGCTTATGCCAATTTAATTGCTAAAATTCAACTTTGTTGCAAGAGGGGTCCACTATCAAGTTAATGATTATGTAACATAAGATAAATAGAGTAATCGTGTTTATGGGGTCGCATCTGGCACAACAAATGTAGCTTACTATTTTAATAATATTTTTTTGAAAGCATAAAATCATAACTGATGTGTCCATATACTAGTTTTCAAAAAATGTCTCATTGTATTCATTCACACATAGTGGAGACTGTCTGTTGTTCATGGGTCATTGTATCATCACATCTCCAGGGACTAGAGACTGGTGATGTATTTGTTTATTTAAAAGTCACATTGAAAGATATAAATAAATGTAAAATAACCGAATAAATTTCACCAAGACCACTTTAACCTCATTTGAAATGTTATCATCCTTGAACATGATAAAGAATAGTTGAAAAATATTTACCTTTAAATTTCTTGTATTTATGAACTGCCTTTGAAATTATGTGACTGTTTTTATTTTGTGGTTATAAATTGTTAATTTATGGAAATAAAGGTCACATGAACTCCTTCATGCCACAGACATTTATCTAATAAAAGTTATTCTTATACCCTGGATGCATGTGCTGCTTTATGTCTGATGAATAAATGTAATTTCTTAACAATTTGAACATGACTGTATTCACGCCTTCTATAAAATTTGAATAAAGTCAATATTTCACCTGTTTTTTATTGGTCCATATAATACCTGGTCTATAATAAGTGTTTTGTTCAGTACTTAATGCTAAATTGAAGTGACAATTTTGCAAAAGTTTTCATGTTCTAATCGTAATGTAGTCCTTGGATCGGATAGTTTATTGAGTAATATGTACCTTAGGACTCATAAGCACAAAAGATTTCGAACCTATCACTCCCTCCATTCGGTCTTTTGGGGGAACAGAAAACGTTTGTGCCTAGCCCTGCAGTATTTATTCGTTGATATAATACCAGCTCTTTGCTCTGTATTTCTTTATAAAAACACTATTTGAATAGATTTACATGCTTATGATATTACGTTACTGTATGAAGTCACAATGCAGCAAAATTGTTTAACATTGCTGGCCATAGGGTAATAGAAGTACAATGTAATGTAAAACCCAAATGTTATTTACTAAATTGCCAATGGTCTGATTCATTTGCAAATTAGCCATTTATATCAACCTTAATGAGTAGAATACTGAAATAGTGTGAATCATGACATAAAACACCGACTTAAAAATTCCTACTTGGTGTTTATGTCAATATACATTCCACTACTACTGCCATCTTTATGATTCTTAGTGCCATGTTTTTTATGTCATTATGTCACCATCAAAAAATGGTGACATATTGTTATGGTCTCCATTTTTATGTGACGGTGACTGACGGTTGGTGGTTGGCATGTTGTTGGCAGATTCTTACAACTTCCAGTAACTTAACAAATACTGTTTAGACTAACTTCAATTTTTTTAAAGTTATCTACAAATTCTCAGCAGTTCAAATCTGACTTTAGATTAGAGATTTGACCTTCAATGATCTTCTCAATGTCAAGAAATGTCAAAAGGTCTTTTTTCAACTTGGTTCATCTTAATACATTTGGATATTGTCTGTAGACTGAAGTAGTTCCAACTCAATTTTTAATTCCAACTTAATTTCCAACTCAATTATAGGGAACGCCTCCGTCCGTCCGTCCAGGCAATAACTCAAATACCGTTGGCCCGATTTTGTTCATATTTTGTACACATATACCTATGGGGGTAGAAGTTCTGCTCGAAAGCCGATTTTCAAAATGGCAGCTCATTTAAAAATGGCGGTCATTTTAGTGCCGATTTTACAGTAATTTAGGTGCAATATGAAAAACTGTAATAGCAATATGTTTTAAATGTAAAATAATTATATAGGACATTGATAAAGCTAGAAATAAAGAAGCACATGGCAGCCATCTTGAAAAATGGCGGCCTTTACTTTTACGATTTTTGCTGTAACTCAAGAAGTAGTGGAGCGATTTTGTTCATATTTGGTATGTGAATACTATAAGCATGGCACACTGTCTAATGACACTTTTGGTAGGAGGCGGCCATTTTGAAAAATGGCGGCCATTTTAACATATTTTACTATAACTCAAAAAGTAGTGGAGCGATTTTGTTCATATTTGGTTTGTGAATACTATAAGCATGGCACACTGTCTAATGACACTTTTGGTATGAACCATTTTCCTCTTTAAAACCAATGTCCAATGAGTGTTCAAGATTCGTTTGCATAAAAGTGTGATAATAAGTCCTTTTTAAATTTCCCTGCAAACTGAAACGTGTTGGTGATAAAGTTTCGTTCAAATATGACTTAGAATTATGATAAATGAAAAACCTATGTTGGGTCATTGTTTTGGATTCAGATTATTCAATCATGGCTTTAACGACAAATTCCCCTGCATTTTTATACATTTCAGAAGTCTCCAACTCATTCAGGTTCCTTCTGAAATTACTAATTAAATGTCCATGAGCTTTCAAAACTTTGAAACCAGATTTCTTTTGCTAATACAGTAGTTTTTGGCTCACACAGTGAGCCTATGGGATCGACCAGGCTTCCGTCCGTCTGTTGGTCCGTCCGTTGGTCCCTCCGTCTGTCCATCAACTTTGGCCACACAAATTAAAACTGCTATTCAGATTGAGTCATATCCACATTCATTTTATGCATATCCATAATGCCTATTTGACTTATCATCGCCATTTTCCAAGTTCGCTCGGTTTCCAAGAAATTGCTGATTTTGATGTCAAAAAGTCAAATTTTCTGTAAATATGAAGGTTCTACTGTGACTGTGGGTCCTTCATTTGAAATAATAGTCCTAAAAATATCAGTGTCATTTGATAAAATAGGGCATGGGCTTTCAAATTGAAAGCCCATGAATAGGGGTAGTATCCATTCTTCGCATTCTTTCATTACTTCACTCCCACATGTTCTCCTGCTGAATGTAAAACAGGGTGAATATATATATATTTACTATAACTCGAAAAGTAGTGGAGCTATTTTGTTGATATGCATAAGGGTCATCCCTATACCTGAAATTCGTAAATTTAACACCTTATATTTTAAATTTTCAAATTTTGGACTTGTTAAAAACCTTTAACTTCCTTATAACCCATCTAAATCTTGTTTTACATCTTAGTCCCACATTACAAAACCATGAATATCATCACAGAGGGATGGATCTAGAAACTATAGGGGTCAGCCATGGCTATACCTGAAATTTGTAAATTGGAAACCTTATATTTACAAATTTCCAAATTTTGGACATGTTTAAAACATCATCATAGAGGGATGGATCTAGAAACTTTAGGGGTCAGCTATAGTCATACACAAAATCCAGCTGTCAAAACTGTCAAATTTTTCGAAAAATCAACAATTTTTTTCTCAGCTCCTACCTCTTCAATGGCTTTGCATCTTTCAGGGTTACTAATCCTGCTATTAGGCCCTTCACATGAATTTGTTCAACCTTTTACAGGGTTTGAAAAGTTACAATCAAAATAGTAAGAAAATGGGTCACGAATTTGCCCCCTGGGGTACACACTTTGTACTAATAAATGATCTATATATATAATATCTGTGTACGTCACTTACAAACATCAAAATATCTAAGGTTATTTAGTGTGAACAAATTTTTCCCCAGGGTGGGGGTGGAGGGCTAACCCCTCAAAAAAAGAACTTCCTACCACTCTGCGAAGCTATCACCTAGGTGGAAAGTTCATTCAAGACTCTCCCCTAACTGAAAATGCTGCAAAACCAACTATACACCATTTATTGAGAATTTTTCTCCTCGCCCCTAGATTATTGTCAATAACGTAAATGCGAGTAGGTAGTTACCAGTTTCACCACCAGGTGGCTCGCTCGGGTCAGATAACATGGCAGATATAGTAGAAAGTTCCCTTTAACTTAAATTACATCTGTTTTAATGGTTCAATTTTCATATAACCCTTATGTATCAAATACTTATGCAAATTAATATTTGTCCAGAAAAAGGAAATGTTATCTGTCCAATACAAGAAAAGATATTTCACTTTTTGTGTTTTTGTAATATGGGGTCTATCGTCTATGGGGAATCATACCTAACTAGAATTCACATTTTCAAAATAATTAAATTTTCAAAGTTAATAAACAATTTTCGAAACCATATTTCTAGATGTACTTTTACATGTAGATTTCAAATATGACATCACTTTGACTGAATTTTGAATGTTTAATGATGTAAATCGTTTATTGTATTGAAATGTAAAAATAATATATGTCCAAATATTGTGTTATATTATTCAATGTGGGATTCCATATACTAGTTGGCTATTTGCCAGTACACATACAGACCACATGGGAATATGCAGGATACATGCAGTTGTTAGTTGAATATTATTTTAAAGAAAGCATAAAAATGAATATTAACTCAATATACTTTTAATTATGTTTCAGACAAATACAGACAACTCTCAATGGTACAAACAGCTTAAACAAAGAAGTCATTTAGAGCGTAGTAAATATTCAACAGCTTATGAGACAAGGTGACAGAAGAATGCAGCCCCTAGTCAGACAATGACACTAAAATTGAAAAAGTTATCATGTAATTTAATCACAAAATAAACATTTTACATACATAAGTCATGCCTGTATCTGTGGATTTTGGAATATATTTCATTTGCTAAGTACATTGATGTGATTGGCAACTGTCCATGGAATTGATGAGTTTTATAAACAGGGAGAATTAGTAGTTCTGGCAAGGCTAGTTATCTCTACGTATTGCCAAAAACTGAAGATGAAAACATGACCAGTTCATATTTAAAGGATCCCATGTGACATATGGTGGTATACAGATTATAAAGACCCACTTGAAATCTCTGAAATACCCCCTGAAGAAAGAATGAGTTGTTAGGACTATGAACTGCCAAACATGACATACCTTTTTTATATTTATCAAAATCCAGTTATCCATCGATAATTCGATATGGACATAATATGGAGTTTAAGCTTGCATATAAAATCGAAACGCCAACCTATATGTATGACCAATCGCCCTATACAAATGCATCGCTTAAATATTTTCCGTTCACGTTTAGGTTGTGAAAAACATGGCAAGTTAAAACTCCCTTATATGATCGAAGACACTTTTTAGACTATTAGTATACGTTTTCCAGGGCTGTCCAACCTGGTGACACAATATATGAACAACTGGCCGAAAAAATAAGATTTTTTTCATTTTCAAGAACGAGGAGGCTGAGTTGCGTTCCAAGATTTGACCAACATGATAGTTCATATACTTATCACATCGAACTTCGTTTGTAGGAATATAGAGAACCCGTTCTTCCATTCTTCCGTTCGTTTCTTTGTCAGGGCGTTAACTCAAATACCATTGACAGTTTTGGTTTAAATTTTATGATTTATGTCTTATGGGTAAATGACATGTTCCCGAGAAGGAATTTCCGATATGGCCACTCAATTCAAAATGGCCGCCATTTTTTCGTAAAAAATGTAGTCTTTGATAACTCAAATACCAGTTGACGGATTTGGTTAAAATTGTATATGTTGATGCTTAGAGAACGTGCTGATCTATATGTGGCAAAAGAAACTGAACTTGACAGTGTTGAACCCGTGCAAGACTGTCACAGTTGTTCGCAACCATTGCTCCGGACATAGAACGTACATAGACAAACATGTTAACAAAATACACGGACGGTTGGTCGGACGAGTTAAAGGATCTCATAAAGTGACCACAAAATAAATCAAGTTAAATATCAAACTTGGCAAAGAACCGCGCAAATTGATAACTTACAATGTATCGCACATAATATACAAATGAACGCTGATAGTCTGAGCTAGCATTTGCAAATTCAGCTGTCGTATTGACGGATGGCGATTTGATTGCAATTTTGTGGCCTATTCATTTATATATGAATACTTTAATGTGTTGGTTGACAGCTGAATTCGCGAATGCAAGCTCACACGACTTGTCATCGAAAGATTTGTCATATTTTCTAAAACAAAGCCTGAAATAACATATGCAGATCTAATAACTACGAATTATTTCAATTTTCATTCTTAGCACAACAATGATGTGTACTGTAGATCATGTAGATACAGTAATCGACCTCATAGGCGTATGGTCATATTCAAAGTTGGTGTGCCCCCACTTTTGGATCTCGCTGAATGAAATGAATTCCATCTCGTGGAATGGAATGATTTAAAACGACAGCATTTTCTTTATACTATTTATAAAATAAAAAAATTACCGCCGTCCGTTAGTTCGTCATTCTGGTACTCATAGCATCTTTATGTTTCACTTGAAACATGCTCTGATATTATGAGGCATATTTTGTGATCTGAACACATCAGATGGGAAGAGTTATCACTGTCAATAAGTGTGATTGTTATCATTTAATCATTTACATTAATGTCAATATATTATGTACATTACATAATATGTATTGTATTTAACAGCAGATTCAGTATTACAACAGGCACAGTTGTACAAGTTTTATGACCTCAATTAAATGAAATATGAGCTGGGATGAAAGATCTCAAAAATCCTCAATTTTGGGCTCTCCTGGATCGCCAAGTCAAGCTCATTTTATCATGGCATCTCAGGGCTGAGAAGATTTGAGATGTCATGTCATGATAACTAGAGTCAAAGAAGAAGTCTACTTCCAAGATGACAGCTGAATTTCAATATCTCTGATAAATCAAATACCAGAAGGTGGATTTTGTTCCAAATTTTATATGCTGATGCTTATAGGGACAAAGGATATCTCTATTCAAGAAGAAATACATACATAGGCCATCAGCTTCACCCCAAAATTTGGGTTATCGGTATCAAGTTAGGGGAATAATCGCCATAGTGATTTTTGGGAAGGTTAATACCTCTAGAGTAAAAAAATATGTGATAGCATTGCAACAGTTGTAGCTAAATGGGTGTTATCACCCATTTTTCAAAATGGCCGCCGGTGCATGACTTACAATATATAAGTAGGTATATCTAAGCATACTGAGATACAAATACTGTGATTTTAGGATCTTAGTTTGGGTTTTAGGGGTCAAGGATTTCATTTATGTCTAAATCCGAGTCATGAAATAATTAATTTTCATAGAAATCCAAGATGGCTGCCAAAATGGGTGCCAAAACAAATTTGTAATTACTGATTTAAACTCAAAAAAACATTTAAGAGCAGTGAATTTGTAGCCCATGTCTACATTTTAAGGGTCAATGATTTCATTTATGTCTAAAACTTTCAGTTGTCAAATAATTACTTTTCATAGAAATCCAAAATGGCCACCAAAATGAGTGCCAAAACGAATATGTAACTTCTGATTTAAGTTAAAAAAAACCTTAAGAACAGTGACTTTGGAGCCCATCTCTACATTTTAAGGGTAAAAGATTTCATTAATGTCTAAAGCTTTGAGTTCAAATAATTACTTTTCATAGAAATCCAAAATGGCCGCCAAAATGAGTGCCATAACGAATATGTAACTTCTGATTTAAGTTAAAAAAAACCACTTAAGAACAGTGACTTTGGAGCCCATGTCTACATTTTAAGGGTAAAAAAATTGATTTATGTCTAAAGCTTTGAGTTGTCAAATAATTACTTTTCATAGAAATCCAAAATGGCCACCAAAATGAGTGCCAAAATGAATATGTAACTTCTGATCTAAGCTAAAAAAACAACACTTAAGAACAGTGATTTTGGAGCCCATGTGTGATTTAAGCTAAAAAACACACTTAAGAACAGTGATTTGGAGCAAATTTGTACAATTTAGTGGTCAATGATTTCATTTATCTCTAAATCGATGTCATCAAATAATAACTTTTTAAAGAAATCCAAGATGGCCACCAAAATTGGTGCTGAAATGAATATGTAAATATTGATTTAATCTCAAAGAACAGTTGAGAACAGTGATTTTGGAGACCATGTCTAAGTTTTAGGGGTCAAGGATTTCATTTATCTCTAAATCCAAGTCATCAAACAATTACTTTATATAAAAATCAAAGATGGCCACCAAAATGGGTGCCAAAATAAATATGTAACTATTGATTTAAGCTCAAAGAACAATTAAGAACAGTGATTTTGTAGACCATGCATATTATGTAAGGGTCCTGGATTTCATTTATGTCTAAGTCTACGTTATCAAATAATTACTTTCAATAGAAATCCAAGATGGCCACCAAAATGGGTGCCAAAACAAATATGTAACTATTGATTCAAGCTCAGAACAGTTCAGATCAGTGAATTTAGACACTATGACAAGGTTTAATGGGGTAAGAATTTCAATTAGGTGTATAACTAAGTCATAAAATAATTCCTTCATTTGGACATCGAGAAGGCCGCCAAGATGCAGATAGAAGTGAATATGTAACTTTTGATCTAAACATAGAGCAGTTAGGACATTATTTTTGGATATCATTTCTAATTTGTGAAGTCAATGATTTTAATTTTGTCAAACAAAATCATTGAATAATTTATTTATATGGATGTCCAAGATGGCTGCCAAAATAAAAAATTAATGTAGCCAGAACTATTGATTTAAGCACACGGATCACTAAGAACCATATTTTGATACAATGGTATTCTCATCTCCTTTTGATTGCACAGTCTCTTAGTTTTTGGTCTGCTCTCATTTGTACTTCCTTTTTAAGTTTTTCACATATGTGAGACTTCTTCTGATGCCTATAGCCTTGCTGCATATATATGCATATTAGTCATACACTGTTGATTTTGATGATTTATTTCTAGATGATCTTTTTGTGCATAAGCACTGACTGATACTAGTCCCCTCGCTTATGCTTCCACACTTCCATGATAGATAATTCTTGGAAGTAAGTCTTTCAGCTCTTTAGCAATATCAAGAATAGGATCATGGTTTTACACTTTGGCTGCTTCAATTAAAGTACTGTTCTTTGAGCTTGAATCAAAAGTTACATATTCATTTTGGCACCCATTGTGGTGGCCATCTTGGATTTCTATATAAAGTAATTATTTGATGACGAAGATTTATAACATACATGGAATCCTTGACCCCTAAAACCTAGGCATGGTCTCAAAAATAACTGTTAACTGTTCCTTGAGCTTAAATCAAAAGTTACATATTTGTTTTGGCACCTATTTATGTTGCCATCATGGATTTCTACAAAAAGTGAGTATATGATGACTCAGATTTAGACATAAATGAAATCCTTGGCCCTTAAAACGTAGACATGGGCTCAAAATTCACTGTTCTTAAGTGTTTTGAGCTTAAATCAATACTTACATATTCATTTTGGCACCCATTTTGGTGGGCATCTTGGATTTCTATTAAAAATTAATTATTTGATGACTCAGATTAAGGCATAAATGAAATCCTTGACCCCTAATATGTAGACATGGGCTCCAAAGTCACTGTTAAGTGTTTTTTTAGCTTAAATCAATAGTTATATATTCGTTTTGGCACCCATTTTGGCAGCTATATTGGATTTCTATGAAAAGCAATTATTTAATGACTCAGATTTAGACATAAAAGAAATCCTGACCCCTAAAACCTAGACATTGTTTCCAAAATCACTGTTCTCTGAGCTTAAATCAAAAGTTACGTATTCATTTTGGCACCCATTTTTGCAGCCATCTTGGATTTCTATATAAAGTAATTACTGATGACTCAGAATTAGACAGAAATAAAATCCTTGGTCCTTAAACATAGACATGGGCTCCAAATTCACTGCTCTTAAGTGCTTTTGAGCTTAAATCAATACTTACATATTCATTTCGGCACCCATTTTGGTGGCCATCTTGGATTTCTATAAAAAAAGTAACTATTTGATGACTCAGATTTAGACATAATTGAAATCATTGACCCCTAAAATGTAGACATGGGCTCCAAATTCACTGCTCTTAAGTGCTTTTGAGCTTAAATCAATACTTACATATTCATTTCGGCACCCATTTTGGTGGCCATCTTGGATTTCTATAAAAAAAGTAACTATTTGATGACTCAGATTTAGACATAATTGAAATCATTGACCCCTAAAATGTAGACATGGGCTCCAAAATCACTGTTCCTAAGTGTTTCTGAGCCTAAATCAATAGTTACACATTAGTTTTGGCACCCATTTTGGCGGCCATTTTGGATTTCTATAATA